TTGATGTATCAAACAAGCATGCTGTCTTAAAGAAACCACACATTATTCATTTCAGACGTCAGACCATCGAAGAGGCTACGGTGAAGATGGGCGATCAGAGCATGTTGAGACTCTCCAGTCTTTGTATGACCTGAGGTGTGAAAGTCCGTGGCATGTGGGGAAAACGGGAGAACGACAACCGGTCGCTGGGGCGTAGAGTAAGCCCAACCGAGGTCGGAGCACACGAAGCTATGCCGCTGCTTCGAGTCACACCGCTTCGCGGCCGCCTCTTCCGTCTTGAGGTAGAAGATTCGGCTTGCTTGACCCTTTGCAGATCATACCAGCGGTTCCATCTACCTCTACAACCGCCCCGGAGACAGGAATTGGCCCGAAACACTGCATAAATCATATCGACAGCATGAGCGCATACTGGCGGACAGGCCTGGAAGCAGGGACACACACTTATGCACACATAACTCAAGAGAACGTAAGACATACACACGCACAAACACACACACACACATACAGAGGGTCCGATGCTAGTTTCCGAGGCAAGGTCATCATCAGCCGAATGGGCATCAATCACAACCTCTGACAGGGACTCGGACAAAAGGGGACGGTGCCGGTACCGATGACAGGACACAAGGGCCAAAGCACAAGGACCATGAAACCGCATGTGTGTCATGTGTACAAAGCAGGTGTCTGTCTGTGTGTCTGTTGAGTGTGTGAGCGTGTGTTCAATTTTGATAAGGAAAATGTGTCATCTCGACAGCACACTGTCGGGCAAGACTGTTGGGTGGATGCATTTGCAGGCCCGATTGACGCCCAAATGAAAAGAGACATTCTCCATCGCCAGGTCACATTTCCACGGTCCATTTGGCTAAACCCTGCTCAGTGTCGAAGTGATCCAGGAGCCTATTCTGGCAAAGTGGGATTCGAAGTGAGAATCTTAGGTGCATTTTTCCACAATCATATGAGCCGACTTCGTGTCTTCATTTTGGATACTTTAGCCTTGCTTCCTACAAAGTAGGCTCACCCTCACTTGACACAACTGTAGCTTCAACCAGGCCTGGATTGACCACACCAGCACCACCAGCAGGACTCGAACCTGAGTTAAAGGTAAAATGTGAATTTCAAGCAAGGCCAATCCCCTCCAAAATCATATTTTCATAGTGGGCTCGTCCATGAAGCCTACTTAAATTCGTATAAAGTAGGCTGTCAAACTATTAGTAAATCATT